TGATTTATGTTTTATTGACTCATTTTCTATTTTTATATCGGGGTTTCCACCGTTAATCATTCATGGGGTAACCCCTGATATAAATCTGAAGAAGTTTACATCAAATTCGGATTATTTGTATTAAATTTTTATTAAATGGATCAAACAAATGAAATTGAGAAAGTATGTACATACATTTCATATTCTATTTCATTTATATTACCATTTATAAATTTATAAAGAAAAAAAGAGATATAGGTGGATTCCTTTATATTAAAATATTTCACTTGTATCTTTATACATTACAATAACCATAATGGCTAATATGGTAGAAAGAGATCTCTTTCTACCATACTAGCGGGCCCCTTAGGATACTACTACTACTGAATCTAATGCATTCCTTTAATTTAAGACGAGAAATTGAAATCCTTTTTGTTTCGTTGCATTGATAGTCAAATTGTATTCAAATTAATTATTTTGACTAACAGTTTTTACGTAAATTATAAGCAAAAAAGCAGTAGGAACGAGAATGAAGAGTGCAGTAGCAATAAATGCAAGAATATTTACTTCCATAATTTAATCGTTTATTATTTATTTTTTTCTTTGGAATATCTCGGGATTTAATCCCATAGAGATGAGAAATCTTTCGCTTGTAAACTCACTCAGATTAATTAGATTTCGATGATATCGAATAAAAGAAATATTATGAATAACAATATCGTAGCTATAAAATCGATTCATCGTCAAGAATTTAATAATATACCATAAGAAGATCTTTTATCCACATCGAATACATAATGAGATTACTAATCCAATCAAAAAAAAATTGATTTATGATTCTTTTTCCCCGCTTGCTTTTCTACAACCTAGTACTTGACTTTCCTTGTACAACCATCCGATGAAGTATCATAAAAAACCTTTTCTACTTCGATTGTTTACAAAAAGAGTTTCTAAAGAACCTTAAATAAACAATAGAAATCAAATAGAGAAAACAAGTACGAAGTTCAATTTGAAATAAAAAAAAAATTTAAGGGTCTATCATCTTTTTGGAAAACAAATAAAGGGAATGTGATAAAGACCAGTCCCAGCAAAAAAAACTAAAATATTCCAAAAAATGAACTATTTAAATTTTCTTACGAGTTTTTTCTTCAACATCGACTCTAATCTTTAAAAAGAACATGTTCATTAGGGAAAGGAAAGACTAATTTGATCTTTATTTTTTAAATATCCTCTTTCCTTGGTTGGATTCGAACTATTTTCAATTACTTTACTTCATAGAAAGAAAAGTATATAGGAACTCTTGACAAACGTATTATACGCTATCCTATTCCATTTTCCTACACGAGTTAATAGGAGATTAATTGACAAAAAGCAGAAACCCCGTACAGTATCTCTTTCTTGAAGTGTTGAATGCTCTCAATAATTATACTAATTTACATATGTCTCTCTACCATCAATTGGTGCTAGTTAAAATAATGGAAATACCCCTTTCTTTTGCTTAATGAAAAAAAAAAAAGAGAAACTCCCCTTTTTGTTTCTGGGCAAGGGAATCAAAACGGTTTCGTTTCTCTTTTTTTTTTATTGAATCCGCCGGGACTGACGGGGCTCGAACCCGCAGCTTCCGCCTTGACAGGGCGGTGCTCTGACCAATTGAACTACAATCCCATGGAAATCAAGTGGGTAGCTTACATATTCCTTCTTATGATTTCATTTTAATCGTTTCAATTTTAGATTCAAATTAGTGTTTTGTAACAAAGAAAATCACAAGTGATATATTGATATCTATATGGACATCACTTTAGTGATAGCAAGGCGGATTGCTGGTAATCCTTGCATTATTATCAATCGACTCTATTCATTAAAGTTGATATTGAAAGGATCCATATCGGGATCCTTAGTAAGATCGGAATTTTTGATGGAAACAAAAAAGTAACTAGACACAAGAAATAAAGAAAAAAGTTAAGTCCAAAGATACCCCGAAATTTGACCTTTTTTTTACCATTTATGCAAAACAAAAAGTGTTCCGTAAACAGCGAATTATTGGGCCGAGCTGGATTTGAACCAGCGTAGACATATTGCCAACGAATTTACAGTCCGTCCCCATTAACCGCTCGGGCATCGACCCAGGAAGAATCTATTCTAATTTTCTGGATAATCCACGATCAACTTCCTTTCGTAGTACCCTACCCCCAGGGGAAGTCGAATCCCCGCTGCCTCCTTGAAAGAGAGATGTCCTGAACCACTAGACGATGGGGGCATACTCGCTCAACCGCCATCATACTATGATCATAGTATGATCAGTTTTTGAAAATTGTCAATATAATCAAATGGTATGACTAGCTTATAAGGTTTTTTTCTATTTTCTATAGGATTCGATATCATTTTTTTATTTTACATTTGTATTCATATTCAAATCACAATTCTCTAAAAAAATCGCTATATTTTCTTTTTCTATTTTTCTATTTGAAGTGGAAATATTAAATAAAAAAAAATCTAAAAATCGTCTAGTACAGAATCTTTTAACGAAGTGATCGGTCTGACATAAAAACAGAAAAAAGATCCCGTTAAGTAAATTTGAAGTAAATTCAAATTCTCGTTTCTAGTTCCGAAATGAACTACTAACCACTATGCGTCTATTGTATATATATTTAATATATATATAGATAGATTTTATTTACCTATCGACTCAGTCAGGAATTAAGCCAAGACGGCCCTTTTAACTCAGTGGTAGAGTAACGCCATGGTAAGGCGTAAGTCATCGGTTCAAATCCGATAAGGGGCTTTTACTTTCCTTACTTTCTAATAGTAAAAATTGCATTCTCAAGTGTATAATTTCTAATTCATTTTATTCTAATAATAATTAATACTTAACGTTAGAGTGTAATTTAGAAAAAAAAATTGAACATTTTTATATTATAATACAATGAATAATGATAAGTCGTCTCTTGAATCGCCAAATATATATTCTTTTTTTGTTATTTCATTTTTCCATAGATTAGAAATCGACAAATTAAAAAGAAAAAGTAAGTGGACCTAACCCATCGAATCATGGCTATATCCACTATCCTGATATTCAAATTCGATAGAGATAAAATTGAAACGGTATATTTTTTTTTTCATTTTTTTTATTAGGAAATCCGTCGATATCTCTTATTGAATCTTCTTGTTTCTATATATTTCATAGGAAATATATTGCGTTCTTGCCTAGAAAAAAGAAAAAGAAAGTCTTATTCCAAATTGATACCTAAAGGGCATTTCAATATCTTGT